CGATTTCTCCATATATCTGAAAATCATTTTCAGAAAGTGGGCCCGGAAAATTAATGGTGACACTCAATTGATTGTCCTGAGTCAAAAATATTTCTCCCTCGAAAACAATATGATATTTGTCATCTAAAATAATTTCCACATCGTTACATGATTGGTCTAAGACCTTGTACGATGGTACCCAATCTTCAAGAGAGATAATTTTCCAATTTTCAGGATCATTTTTGATAGATTTCCACCAATCATTAATCTGATTTTGATCAATAACTTTCTCACAGTGACTGATGAATAATGATGTATCGATATTATATTCTTTACTCAATTCTGCCAAACGATTCTCAATTTCTTCCTGAGATGTATTATCATCAAATTCTATTTTCAGAATGTTATCAATAGAATTTATCTTATATGACTCATATGATCGTTTTAAAATCCCACCGATAACAACAGTTTTAGGTAATAGGTGACCGAAATCATTATTAAATAATTCCGAAAGATTTTTATACGGCTGGCAGCTTTCAATGGCTTCGTCTACTGCTTCAATATATGGTTCTGATGGTTTTACGTATGGTAAAACAAAAGATAACCTTGCGGCCTGAAATATAATTTGACAAAAAACTCTTTTAGAAGATTTTTTTTTAGAGTTTTTAAGATCCTTTGCAGGGTAATTTAATGATGAATTAAAGTCGATGAAAGGTGTTTCACTAATATTCAATTCATCTGCCATTTTTAAGTCAATACCGTTGTCCAATAGATAAGCTTCCTGTTGATTTTTTGGTTGAGCCAATAAAATAATGAGTTTATTTATTGGTGTGATTTCAGGTTCTTTTAAAAATTTAAACGCAACAGTTTTTCCATGTTGTAATTTTGAGTGCTGTAGGAGCACACCATACCGTAATGAAAGTTCTTCGATCCAATCTCTAACATATGGTAATAGAGAAAGATTTGATAATGACATCCACTCTGAAAAAGTTTTTTGCTTGAATTCAGGAGGAAGTTGTGGAATTAAAATTGGGAGTGGTTCATCCACAGGAGTTAAGGCAAAACATTCAAAGATTTTTTCTTTTAAATTATTGTCCAATAATTCATAGAATGGTTTATATTCTTTATACAATATTAGTTCAACGTCCTTGCATTCGTGCAAATCTTTTAACCACCTATATAAGTCTGAGACATTTTCCATAGATCTTGAAGGAAAAGTTTCAAAACGAGGAAAACCTTCAAGTGATCCGTTTTCAAAAATAGCTTGCGTTTCACCTTTAGCGAAACTAATTCCCCAATTAAGATATACTTGGAAGCGTAATAAACTTTCATCATTAATATCTTGAGTATTGATCATAATTGCACCACCAATAGTAAATTTTGTAATAACATAATTTCCATATTCATTAAAGATTTCGTCTAGTTTTAATCTTTTTTCATCGACATTTGAAAGGTTGAGAGCATCTTTAATTTCATGAATAAATTCATCACTTAGACATCCATCATATTCTACCTCACCGATTGGAATATGAATTCTTATAATATCCGCACCATATGGAACCGTTTTGTCTTTATGAGAAAACAAAGTAAACCTATTTAAAAATCCCCATGGTTCAATGTTTATTTTTGCAAGATAAATGATTGGTGTAAAATGCTCTATTTTCTTGGAATTGAACCCTCCATTGTCATACAAGATGTGCTTTTTCCCTGGAGCAAAATCAAAACCATCTCTATTACGACCTTTGGTTAAGCCGAAACGCTTGACGAATAACCTTTTTCTTTCAGCTTCTTGTTCCAAAAGGTCAAAGTTTAACAAGTGACCCGCTTCCATTTCGTCAAGATCGTTAACGAAATTAAAGTCGGGACTTAAAGGACCATTTTCAGAATCAGGAACAGGAACATAGTTTTGCTCTTGTACCTGATCTCTACTGTACAATTCTTCATAAACTATTTCTCGCATTTCCTGAAGAATTTCAAGACAACTGGGCCTTTTATCTAGATTTATAATACAAATTGATATTTAGTCTATGTAGATTATCGATTAAAAATATGATAATTAAAAAAATATTATTACCTGGATTATCATCCCAACATTTTACATATATATTAATATATTTGAGAGGAGTCCCGATTACTGGCACTTCTCGAGAACCACCAATTACTTTGAGTGCAACCGCAATATCAAAACTTTCATTAAATGGTGGGATACCACCATTAGATATCTCCCAAAATAGCACGCCCAAAGCATATATGTTTAACTTTGTTCCATCTTTTGACTTTTGCATGTTTAATACCTGAGGAGCTAAGACTTCAGGAGGTGTATAATGAGTAAAAGGATATCCATTAGGAGTTGTAAGTTTTGAGATTCCTATATTTGTCAACTTTGGAGTTGAATTATGCATCAATATATTTTTTGGATGCTAAAAAACAATTTTTTTAAATTATTATATAAACAAACATCAAATAATTGGTGCATAGTTTGTATAAAGCAAATGTTACCAATTCAACATGAATGATCTTCTTGTCATGGAGAAATTTCAGACCGGAAACCACTTGACGCGCTAATTTTACTTTGTCGTTCCAGGACATCTGAGGATTTTTGCCAAGGTAATCACGCAAGTCTCCATTATTGGCATATTCACGAATGAAGAAATATTCCATATTCACTATATTTTAAATTAAATATAT